CCCTTTCCGTTTTTGTAATTGTGCAATTCTCAGAACTTTGCCCAGAATAGTAAACAGTAGCAAAAGAAATGCATGAGCTTGAGAATCAGAGAGAACTAAATTCTAGTGCCAGTTACAGTGAACTGGACACTGTGGCCACACCCTTGGCTGCCCTGAACCACCTCCTCCTGGAAATTGAGCGCAATAAAAGCTCACGGGGCTGCTATGAGTCCGGTTGATGTGAAAATGCCCAGCTCAGTGCCTGGCACAGTGAAGGTGCAGGGTAAAGATTCATTTCCTCCCTCCCTCCCTTCCTTCCTTCCTTCTTCCTCCCTTTGTTACTAAAGGGAGAGCATTAGTCTGGCTCCCCAACTCGTGCTGGGGTGAGACCTTCTCTGTAGACTCTTCTGCGGTGCCCCAAAGCAGCTGTTGTACCAGAGAACTGCTTTCCACCAGCCTTGCTTAGTTTTACCCCAGAGCACAAGACCTCCTGGCTTTGAGGGAAGTGGCAGTGGCAAGGAGACCTCTGGCAGCAAGTCTGTAGTTGCTCTTCCAGCTGGACCCAATCCTGCCCCAAATGCAACACCCAGGAGCTAACTGTGTATCACACAGTAGAAGCAGCCACCCCAGCATCCCTGCACAAGTAAGCAGCAAACATGTTCGCTCATTATCTTTAAGGGACGTAGTGAGTCAGACTGAGCTTTAGTGATATTTGCACAAGGCTTTACCTTTGCAATGCTGAGGCTTTGTAATGGTTAAAGTGCTACTCTTCAAGCTCAAAGACAGCCTGCGGCTCTGCAGGCCAATTCCTGCCACGCTGACCCCAGTCATGGAGTTTATCAGGATTCTCCGAGGGAAGAGACAACAGTAGTCCCCTCTCCTACAGTGAACCCTGGAATGTCACTCTCTCCTGGATGCTAATGCCCCTACCCCTCTCCTGTAGATCTCAGCTATGGAGAAAGTGAAAAAGAAAAAGGTGGGGCTCCCCTGGCTTATGAATTTGAATGCCACCTGAACCTGACATGATGTTTGTTTTTTGGCTCCAAATTGCACAATTTTTCAAAGTAAAGGAGTTCCGTAGATCCTAGTCCAACATTGTGCAATGTTTCTTTACTGAGGAATTTGTTTTGGGGGGAAATAGAGACATAACTTAATCCTGTCAGTCCTGGAGGAGGTACCGTTTAGAGAGCTTGTTATTTCCTGAAGGAGCAACCTTGAAATGCACAATATAAATGTTACGTTAACTCTGAGGCTGAGTTCTACATTTATGCCTTACATGTGAGGAAACAAACACAGAGAAGCTGAAGTTCTCCTCATGCTGCTCTCCTGCCATTTAGAAAAGATCAGCGAGTTCCCGCAGGTTTGCAAACACTCCAGGATCCCTCTCGCCTCCATTCCCCAGCTCACCTTGCTCAGCAAGACAGACCACAGAGCAAGCTGGGTAGGCAGACGGGCTTTCTCTCTGGTTTCTTTGCATATGCCTTAATTTTCCAGCAAGTTGTTACTAAATACCTACTGTGTGCTGGGCATGATACACAAGGAGGATCAAAGATGAATGAGACAAGCCCTGTCCTCTTGTTAATTGAAGGCTGCTATTAATTTACAGTGTAAAACTCTACTCCACACACAGCCAATTGTTTTCCATCCCAGTGAATCCATTATATCTCACCAGCACCGAACCCCAGGTCAAGTTTGAGGCTTTCAAGTTCCCAGAATGCCACCTAGACGTAGAAAAAAGTAAGAACGAGCAAGAGAAGGAACAAAACCACAGAAGCTGGCCCTGGAGAGCAGTCACTTCTAGAATGGAAAACTTGGGATGGTGTTTGATTTAAAACTGGTCTCTGCTCCTTTAAGTAGCTTCGCTTAGCTCTGGCTATCTCTGCAAAATGGGCGATTGATCACCGATAGAAACTTAATTACCAGTTAATAGGTTACTATTGAATTGCTGGTACATCTCAGTTATCTGCTACTCCTAAGAGCAATCTACAGTACTTTAGTGAAGAAAAGCTTCTAATTAAATAGTGAAATTGCACTCATTAATATATCAAAATAAATGTCTAGAACTAGGGCATTTTATTAATTACAGGAGTCCGTAGGTTTAGCATCTGTGAGATTCTCTGCTTGCTCATTTATCGCCATTTAAAATGAAGAAACAGTTGTCACCAAATAAAACAGCATCTTAGGTGATTTTTAACCTTTAATGTCAATAGACATAAAAACTTTGCATTCTATGTGACAGAAGTCTGATGTTAAGAAGTAGGGTTATTTTACATAAGGATAACTAAATTTTTTATTTCAGTTTGTTCTTAAACATTAAATTGGTTTGAAATATGCTGTGACAACTTTCTGATTATTATAAATATAATAGGGCAATAATAGAGAATTTCTCATCTTCAAATCATTTTCCTGGACTTGTAGCTGCATCCAAAGGTGTGTAGAAATGAACTTTTTTCCTCTTTTTCTTCCAAGTTAGATTTTGTTTTCATTAATACATCTTCTTGCCCCCCATTTTCTGCCCCAAATTGACCAATTCACAACTATCTTGTTAAGACAGTCAAGATCCAGTTCCTTTATTTGTCCCTTACAAACTGAAACTACCCCATTCCTGAAAAAATAGCTGTCGTAAATTGGTTCATATCTCCACACTCACTCCCCATCTACCCGTAATTGATTTACGTACTTGTTCATTCATTCAATTAATATTTATTAAACATCTACTATGTGTGATATTTCATCTACTGCCAGCGATATAGTGGTGAACAAGCAGGGTCCCTGATCGCAGGGAGCCACTTGCGACAAGTCTCACATCAATCATATATCACGCAAGCAAATAACAGTTGCAGCTGTAATGAGTGCTAATGCCACATAGATAAAAGGTATTATGACAGTCTACAATAGAAGCCTTTGACCTAGAAACATTTAACTTCAGGAAATGATGACAAGCTGAGATCTGAAGGAGGTATAGGAGTTAACAAAGTGAAAGAGGTGGAAGGAGCATTCCAAGCAGAGGGAACAGCATGTGCAAAGGCCCTATAATGGAGGACACATGGCATATTTGGAGAACTGATAGAAGGCCAGCTTACCGGAGCACAGAGAGCAAGGGAGAGCATGGTCCAGGGTGAGTCTGGAGATGTTGAGTAGGGGCCAGATGATGTAGGGCCCAACAGGCCATGTTGAAAATTTTGTCCTTGATCCTGAGTGCAATTGGGAGACATTAAGTGTTTTAAACAGAGTAATATGATGAGATTTGTGTTTTAAAAAGAAAATCTGGAGGCGAGCCCAGTGACGTAGTGGTTAAGTTCGCACACTCTGCTTCAGCAGGCCCGGAGTTTGCAGGTTCGGATCTTGGGTGCAGACCTGGCACTGCTGCTCAAGCCATGCTTTGGCAGCATCCCACATGAAATAGAGGAAGATTAGCACAGATGTTAGCTCAGGGTGAATCTTCCTCACCAAAAAAAAGGTAGAAAGAAAATCTGTCTGCAATATAGAGAAGGGATATGGAAAGAGATTGGATGAGATTGGATGTGGCAGGTCCAGTTGAGAAGCCATTGTAGTAGTCCAGGAAAGGGATGGGGTGGCTTGGATGAAGGGTGACATGGTAGAGACAGAGAAAACTGGATGGATCCAAGAGATAGAAAATGCAGTTGGTGGAATTGGTGATGGACTGTATGTGGGGAGGAATCAAGGGTGACGCTTAGATTCCTGACTTGTGCACCTGGAGGAGTGGTAGAGCCACTTGCTGGGATGCATTTTATCATAAAATCAGGCATGGAGGAAGATTGTGATTTCTACCTTGGTCCTGTTGAGCCTGAGTTCTTTGAGACATCTGAATGCAGGTTTCATAGGCAGTTTGACATATGCCACTCAGCTCCGAGGAGAGGGGTAGCCTGGAGGTCCCAACGTGTGTGTCAGCTAACTAGTGATAGACGTCACAGGAGAGACTGAGATTGCCTGGGGAGTGTGAAGGGTGAGCGGAGGAGCAGCCCGAGGCTGGAGCCTTGAGAGACCCTGACACTGATGGCCAAGCATGGATGGTCCTGCAAAGGAGACTGAGAAGTAGAGGAAACTGGCAGACTGAAGCGTCAAGGTGCAAGGAGGGCTCCACAGTGTTTAACTGTCATATATTACTGAACAATATTTTTAAAAATCTTTCCCTTTAAAGTTGAGCCTAAAGGATAAATACCTGATTGAACCCTTAATTGCTTTTTAGTAAGCTGGCTACTGAGGGATTTGATGTGCCGCTTTTACATTTTTTGAGCCTTTTCACCCTAACGATGACAAATACTTAAGTGGTATTCTCTGCATGCTGGGTTGTGTGGTAAGAGAGCTCTATAAACTAGCCCATTTAATCTTTACAACAGCTCTATCAGCTAGGCATATTTCTGTAATTCCCTTGATTTTACAGATGGGGGAATTGAAACAGAGATAACGTGAATTTCACAAACAGAGAGAGATTATAGGGACTGTGGAAAGTAAATAAGCATTGGGGACCAGGTTTGATGCAGGCACTTGGGTCTGGGCTTTATGCTCTGGGGGCTCCCCATGAAATATCTGTCACCCACCACCCCCCACTATCTCCCTGCACACAGATGCACAAAGGCACACTTTTTAAATTACAATGTCCTAGTGTGACTCCAACGTTCATGATTATTTTAGTTGAACTTCATCTCATTGGACTTGCCTACTAGAAGCATTCCCTTTCTGTCCAGGGCTGAGACATTTATGGTTTTGTTTTTCTTTTAATAGCACCAGCGAAGTTCCATCTTTAGGTATGCACATATTGAACGACAGTCCAAATTATGATAGTAAGGTTTGCCCTCAGTTTAGGGTCTATATATACACAACAGCACCTAGCAATACTGGAGCCATTTAGGTCACTAGAAATATTTCTGCCTGTCTGGAGCTATTTGCACAGTTATCCTTGCCATTTCCCTCCAAGCTCTGAAAAGACACACCAAAGAGTTTCTTACCAGCTTGTTCGCATCTGGACTCATTAATTCTATGACTACATTTTATTCCAGACACTTTTGAGAAATTCATCAGGCTGTGAAGTGCGCAATGATGAATATCGAACGGAGTTTACCACAGCTTTGCAGCGCGTTGACTTGTTCATGGGCCAATTCAACCAAGTCCTCTTGACATCTATATCCACCTTCATTAAAGGAAACCTCACTATAGCTAATCTTGGGACATCAGAAGGTCGCTTCATGCAGGTAAATGCTTTCTGAGAGTGACTGTGTGTCTGTTTTATCTGGATTTATGCAGTTAATTTGTATTTGTTTTTGTTTTTGCAGTAAGGTGTTTGCAAATATTGTAAAGTGAAAATCACAGTAGAAGCTAGAGACACAGACTGAAAGCAAAACAATGAAGCCTGGTCCACTTTTTAGGAAGTGTATGGCCTGTTTTTGTTAAATTCATGAAGCTTTCAGTTTAAATGTGGTTGCTTTAATTTTCTTGCCCAGAATGGTTTGAGTTTGGTTTTTTTTTTTTCCATTCATGAATTCTATCACATGATTGGAAAATAAAATGAAACAATTAAAGAACTTCCAGGCGATGTTTTCCTATTTCAAGGGAAGCTACAGATCAAAGGAGAGCTATTGTGTGAACCGTGCGCCTCCATGAGAAGAAACATTCACATCATTGAGAAATATTGGCAGGAGTTAGGAAGGGACGTTATCATCAAAATCCCATTGTAACTCCAGCTCTCCTGATTCTGCAAAATGATGGGCTCAGACACAAAGAAGTTCAGATACTGGGGGAAAAAATACCCGGATTTTGTTAAGAAATGCTCTTAATGGATAGCAACAGTATTTCCATACAATAAAAGTTCACATTTCAGACTTGCAGTTGTTGTGTTTCCTAGATACAAGAATTATAGCACTTTGCAGAAATGAAAATGCTCTTGTGTTGGATCTGTCTTATGGCTTTAATGGTTATTAAGTAGAGCTTTCAACCTGAGTTCATTAGTAGATTCTTGATTAATGCAGGATGACGATGGCATCTATGGAAATGTTGACTTTCCACAAATACTAGAAGTATCTTTTAAAGAGAGATGCTTATTTCATAATTGTCTGGTATAAGTAACATCCTCGTCAGACAATGACTTCTAGTAAACCAACTGAGGACGAAGATGTTTTCCTGTGACTTGCCCATCCGTATGTACATCCTCTATCTGTATTCTTTTACAAAACATTTTTAAAAATTCCACTGTCTTTATAGCAGTCTAGATATTGGTCGTTACCATATTTTAAATCATGTTTGTCCTGTACTAGTGGGCAGGGTGGAGCTTTTTCAAAGTCATAAAACATGTAAGTAAAACCTTCCTAGCTCAAAACGTATCATATGGATCCTGTTATCTAAGTGTTCCCACGCTTAGTCTCTCCTCCTCCCACTGCTTCACAGTTAACTACCCTTTTTCTCCCCCTCCTCCTACCCTCCCAGCTCAGTGTTCTTATTTACCCACCTCACACCGTTTAATTCTGTCCTTAGCTCCTCAAAATCTGAAGGAGGGGTGCCCGGTCCCCTCCCACACAGACAAGCACTCTAACATATTTGAAATATGGTCATATCTATTATCCTTGCAAAATACATAGTATTATGTTGTGTTTATGTGTTTTTAGTTTACATCGATGTTATTGTGCTGAATTCCTAAAGATTTAGAGGAGGATGAGAGAGGCTAACATCTATTGACTTCCTAATATGTTCATTCTATTGATTTGCTTCCCTTTATCTTTATTTCTGCTTTTCTTTCTTTCTAAATTCTCTATTACCTCACCAATCCAGTTTCATATTAAGCAGCTTTCTATAGTCATTTTAGGTCTGACACTTTTTTTTTAAAGATTTTATTTTTCCTTTTTCTCCCCAAATCCCCCCAGTACATAGTTGTATATTTTTAGTTTGGGTCCTTCTAGTTGTGGCATGTGGGACGCTGCCTCATTGTGGCCTGATGAGCAGTGCCATGTCCTCGCCCAGGATCCGAACAGGCGAAACCCTGGACCACCAAAGCAGAGCATGTGGACTTAACCACTCAGCCACAGTGCCAGCCCCCACTATTTTACATCAAAAGGTTCCTGGCCTATTTCCAGATTCTAAAGTTCTAATGAAATCACACTTTTAGATAGATAGCTTTAATAACTGAATAAGTTGTGCTGTGTGACAGATGCCACCACCCAACTGATATGTCACGCATCAGTCTCATTATAACAACTGCTGTAACAGATGTTTTATTCTTGCCTCCCAGCATTTTCATAAAGGAAGCTATAGTATGCCCATTACCTGTGCATCCAAAGCATTAAAGATGAAAATAAGTAAATAAGTAGATATTTATTTTCTGAAAAGTACTGATATCACTAATTTTTTTTAAAACCAGGTGGCTATTAATTCATTAAATACATATCAGGAATTTACTAACTTGGCTTTTACTAGAGAAATAAGTGAAGCAAAGGAAGCAGTGACACAGAATCTGCCTTTAAGGAACTAAAATTTTAGTAGGGGAGGTAAAAATGTGTACCTCTTACCAAGACTACATGAGACAAAGACATACACACAAAGGGCTTTCGAGACCCACAGAGAGAGGATCTATTTCTCTGATACTTGCCTAAGAGAACTCCATTCGGTAAAATTTTCTGTAAATAAACCTAAAGCATTTGGAGGATCAAGAATCAACGTTACTGAAATCCAGTTTGTTTACACCAAATACTATTGGAGGAGGAGTCAGGAGTGCAGCGAAGACATGGGGACCTTCTAGCTTAATCTGTCAGAGCAGTAATTACCTACCTAGTTCTGTAAATGTTTTGACTGCACTAAAGTGCTAAATCTGTTGGCCAGGCCTACGTTTCTGCAATTCATGTTTTAATAATACTACGGAGTTTCTGTTACAAAGTAGAATGGACATAATTTTTTTTTTTCCAAAGACAGCTGCCATACATGAAAAGGAACAGAAAAATGATTTTACTTCCTTCCTACCCTGAAGCCTAAAGGCAAAGTTGCTTTGCAAATGTTTTCTCCCAAGAGTTTGCAGCTGTTTCTGCCTTTCCTATTGTGCTTATGTTGAGCTCCGGCTGGGAATACAAGCTACAGCCCCAGCTGTCGGGTGCAAAGTGAATCAGGTATTTCACAGTGGTTATTTGATTAGAAAGAATTATATTGTTTAGCTAACAATATTTTATGTATGGCAGAAAAGACATTTTTGACATGTTTCTAACATTTAAACATGTGAAACTTATCCAGTACAGGTGCAGCTATGTATAAATACACTAATATGTACATATATTTAAGTCTCTCTATCTGGAGAGTCATGTCAATATAGATATAGATTTCAAAAACAGTTTTTGTTTCTGTGATCACTCTCTTGGGATACTTTGAAGTAAAATAATATGATAAGCAATGTTTGAGATAGTATACGTAAACGGTGAGAACGCGCCTTACAAATTTGGAGGGGGAGGGGATGAAGAAAAGAACAGGCTCCGGAACATTAGCGCAGTGTACCCACCCAGCTACATGGGAGAGGGAAGAGGGATTCTCGTGAAGATCACAGGACTAATCACAGGGATTGCCCACATCTCCCCTTCTGAGCTCCTCGTCTAATCTACATCCAAAAACAATGCTTGCTTGATTTTTTTTTTTTTTTTTTTTTACAGCTCTTGTATAAGGCCTTTAATCTCTAGATGCAAGGCATTGCTATTAAAATATTTGTGCATGACTGTCAGGCCAGGGAGAGTGAGTGGATCAGGGGCAGGGTGGGGGTGGGGAGGCACTTTCAAGACGTGTTTCAAGTTCAGCTCCACAAACATTCCCTGGGCAGCTACTTTGTCTGCATACAGTAGCTACTGCCTGGGCACTATCACAGCTGTCATTAGGTTCTTCGGCATCATCTTTGCTCCTCTCCCATCCCCCTTTTTGCTCTCTCCTGTTCCTTGATGCTGTTACCACTCATCACCCACAATCAATTCAATATGTTGACCTCTTGTCTTCAGATTCCTTTGGTTCCTGTGCCACCGTCATGGCATATCAGTGCTTTGTGTTGGAAGCATATATTTTACGTTTGGGATTACTGCTATTTTAGAGTGTGTAGACACAGATCATCAATGCTGTGAGCATCCAGCAGAGACACAGCCAAATGAAACTTGAACTCGAACAGCATTTCTCTTTAGGGATTCCTAACTTACCATCTTTATATGTCTTTATAAAATGTTCAGATAAAAATATCATCTGCCTTTTTTTAATGGGTACATTATTGATTTAGTTACATCCCTAAAGAATGGTAACTTTGGTACATTTCTTTAGAAAATATACTCATGAGTTCTGAAATTTCTTTTGTGTGAAAAAGAACCAATTATAAATAATAATTTCAGTTATATCTGTAATCAAAAATTAAGCCCAGTTCATGTATAGTCACCTAAAATGAATAAATACATGCTCTTGAAATACATATATTTTATATACTGTTACATGTGTTACAATTTAAATGATGTTACAATTTAAAATACCATAAATATTTGAAACCATGAGATAATGCTAAACTTTTTTTCTGTTTTGGTTTTGGTAGCAGGGAATAACTGGAATTTCTTGTTTGGGTGCTTATTTAAAAGAGTGGAGAGACATTTTAAGACATAAAATATATATATCAGTAGTATTTTTGAATTTTTATGACAGTGAAAATTCAGAAACAGATATCTTTGTGTGCAGATTGGCTAATCCTACAATCATTGTATTTGGAATATGACTTGAAAGTATTATTTTAAAATTTTTACAAACTTACTAGCTTATTTGGTTTTTAGATGCTTGAAATTTTTTACGAAAGTCTCAACCTGGTAATGACTCATTTCAACTCAGTGACTCATTTCAAAAAGTTGAAATACACATCCATCAATCAGTACTGTAATAGTAAGAAAAATTGTTTTGTTTTCTCGTACACCTGCCCTTTGTAGTGTCAAGTTGGTGCAAAACCACCTCTGCCCATGTGCCAGAAAGAGTAAAAGGAAAGAACCCAATAAAGCTTCATTTAATTCCGTTTTCACCACCTGGTACTTTGTCTTACCACTTTAATTTTGAGCTGTCAGCACCAATCAGCAACTTCTACTTCTTCTCACTTTTGTGTTTTTTTCTATTCTGTAAAACTAGATGTTTAGCTTGACTGAAACACATAACTCTACTCTTTGTATCTAATTTCCTTCTAAACAAACACCAATTTCTCTCACATACTGAAGAAGAT